GAGCATCATTGAAAAGATTTTTTTTTGGACAACAGAGAATTTTCAATAATCATCAATTTTAGTCCAATTCAATTCATTTCTAATATCAGATTAATGTGTTATTGTTTCTTTTGGATTATTTCTTTTTGTTCTACTTTGATAATACTAGTCTTTTAGAATTTTTACCAAACTTCTGATTGAACGATATCTTCTTGTTTAAACCGTGTATACAAACAACACCGACCAAGTCCATCAACATTTGTCGCTTAATTCATGAATAAATATTTTTTCGAAACTGAAAAAAAAAGCCTCTTTAACATAAACATAGTTCATAGTTATATCAATGAATCGAATCGTAGATAGAATCTACTACGAGTGCACATAATACAGCTGGTGAATGCATGAATGGCTAGCATAAACAAATAAAAAAGAGTAAAGTGACAACCATGAGAGAAGCTATTAGCGTAGTCTTTGTGAAATTAAAATTTGAAACACAATAGTTGTTGCTGCTGATAATATTGATTTCACACTTTAGCCATGTTAATATAGTGACCACTTATGTGAACAGAGCATGAAATAGATGAAACGAAATTTACATTAGATAACCGAAGAAAGAATGAGAGGTATGCGTTTTTAATAGTCGACTCATCATGAAGAATATCCTACTGAAGGTGAAAAATATAAGTTAACATAGTTTCTTTAAACTTTTGTCGTGGCTTTTTGTAAATAAGGGCTGTAGAACCATTGTATAATATAATATTTTTTCTGAAAATAAAATAACTGATAAGACAGATTTTTAATCACAGTACAAAAATCGAAGTTTTCCAGATGTAAACAACGAGAATAAATATTTTTCAGTAAGACTCGATGTAAACGTGCACTAAGTCATTTATAAATACAAGAGGTGACTGGACATATAATAGCGACTCATTTCACAAAACTAGTTTTGTCATTAGTCTAATGAAATTCAGTCTATATAGGCAATGTTATTGATTTGTCTAAAGAAATTTTGTCAAAGTTTTTCGATCATTGCAGTATTGTATCTATAGATTTGCTTTTGTTCTTTGATATTGATCTTAAAATTTTTATTGTAAATTTCAAATGATAATGGAATACAGTGAATGAAAATTATTTTTATCGTATATTGTTATGTATATCGAATTAGTATACGTCTATGAATGAAACGCAGTCTCAAATAGTAATATATTGATTTTCAAGATATTATGCGCAATGTTTGAATATTTTAAATGAGAAATTTGAAATTAAAAACATTGCTAATTTTCAATAATTATATTATTCTGTGTCTTCTGCATGTTTCGAATGAAATGTTGATTTATTAAGATAAAATTGAGATCAATACCATTATTTAAAATTAGTTACATTAGCTCTATTTCTATAAGAAAAAAGAAAGATTAATACCACATTATTCAAATAATATGATATTAATTAATCATAAACTTCTGCTTCGATTTACTCCCTAACTTTTAGTAGTTATTATATGAAATCCTCATGTATACAACATTGAATAATCAATTGAAGCGTTCAATAACTCAATAACAATGATCATCAGTTCTAAAAGCATCTTCGATCGAACAGGCATGTTCGTGAAAAACTGTAAATTGTCGTATATTGATGCATTATATGAATCAGTTTTCTATCAAAATACAGTTGTGCACGGTAAAATACTGAGTACTTACTGATTTTGTATTCATCTTCATGAAATATTCTATTCCTCAGTTAATTTGAACCTTAAGCATAGATACTTTTTTGTCATTCTATGCAGTTATTTATCCTATAGCTAACAGATGATCATTTGTACTTTACATACCATATGGTAACTATGTTACACCTAGGTCGAGAAATACAGAAAACAGAGCCCGTATACGACCATATTTTGTCGTATTACATAGTTTCGTATTAGGATCGTATATCTTCGTGACCATTTGCGAAAAAATGCCATCATATGCGGAGAAAATGGAGACCGTTTGTATTCGTTTTCTGACCATGTTTGTTTGACTTGAACAGATAGATACATATGAGTTTCTATTTGTAGACTCTACCCTTACAGTTTAGAAAATTTATCAACATCATACTATATTCATTTGAAGCTTATTCCAAACATAAATGTATTGATCTTGTAGAGAGTTTTATTCTAACATTTTATTTTTAAGTTTTCAATGAATAATTCATCGAAAACAATGACTGCAGATATCAAGTGAAAAGTTTTGCAAAAAGCTATGTCTTGAAAGATTATTTTCTATCAATAATTTGCATCCAATCTATTAAAAATTCAGTTTTAAATCGAAATAATGAATCTTGTTCATAATAAATTGGAAATGCTGTATTTCAAAGATTATTATGTAGATTTATAAATAAACCATTTTTATTTATTCCTTGACAATCAGCTATTGAATTGTCAAAATTTAATAGATATTCTGAAGAACCAATTGAAAGTAATGGTACATCAAAGGAATAAAAAGTAAATAATGGCCTTGCACTTGTTTGATCATAAAAACGTACACCACCATGTTCAATAGCATGTAATTGTCTTGAACTATAATCAACTATTTTTGAGGGATCAACATTATAGCCAAGTACATCAATTTTCCATTCATTACATGTATCTGAAATAACAGGTAAAATTGGATTAAACTCAATCCAAATTGATTCTGGAAAACGAGTTGCTATCTTATTAAACCATTCTAATTAAATCAAAATTGTTGATGGAGAATCTAATGAAAATGTATAATTTAACCATAATATTTTACTTCCACCATAATTTTCAATAATATCATCTAGAAATGTTAATTCAATAAGAAATGTTTTATTTATATTATCTGTCCACAGTGAAATAACATGTGGAAATAATGTTTGACTTTCAGAATTTGTTAAACCTGGTTTAGCAAAATCACCGTATGGTGGCCCACAATTTGGATTGAATTGTAAATTAAAACGATTAAAATCATTATTTGAATATGTTTTATATTGAATATTACCTAAGGTATTATTTATAGTTGATAAATTTCTGCCCAGATCATCTTGAAGAAAAACAATAGTACCTGTTGTATAATTGAAACCAACAGACAATAATATTGTTTCAAATAAAAAATAATCCTTTGCTTGATTTCATGGTAATGGAATTTGAATAAACGGATCTAAATCTGGAAGTGACGGTACAAGTACTTCGAGAGTATCATTAACAAGTTTAATTAATGAAAGATCAGATGAATTAAGTGGATACAAATAAGATCAAGCTTCTTGCCATCCTTGTTGTAATAATTGAAAATCACTTCCATTTCTAACACTAAAAAATTCTTTATTATGATAATTAAACGCATAATTTTCTTGTTTTAAATAACATCCTTTACATAAACCCTAATTGTGTTCGGGATTTTTTAATAATCGAAACGAATAATTAAATATTGAAGATGAATATTCTTGATTGATTAATAATCTTGATATTTGTCGATATGCTGCTTGTTTATATGGATCAGCGGTTACACCATATAATCATGTTGTTCCCCATTCATCTGTTATCACTGGTAATTGATCTTTATATAATTGAAATAAAGACTTACTAAATGTTTCTAAACTACTTGCTATTATTGCAGCATTGGGATAGTGAGTTCTAATATTACACCATAATAACTTTCAATTGGATAAAATAAAAAATAATTCGAAATTGAATGCATTCTCATTTTTTTTCTTTTGTATCCTTTAGTCCATTATCAATACATGTATGATAATCGGTTGCTGAAAAGGATTTAAAATGTTGCCAAGCAATTCAATTCAATGTATCGTTACTTCACCATCATACAATAAATTTGGTGTTCATAAAGGTCGTCAATATAAAGGACAAATTATATATGATACATATGATGATAATATGAATGAAAACGAATATCAACAATGGCAATGTGATCTTTTAAATGAAAGAAATCGTTTATTGACACCAACTGGTTCTCTCTTCTACAATCACAAAGATCGTTGTTATTGTAAACGTGATTATCCTCCAGAACAATTTATTCTTCATAGTAACTTACAATTATATCAAGCATCGATTATTTACCTACATTCCATGGATCTATTCATGAATGACATACTTATAACATGAAAACAAGTTGAAGAAGAAGAATTAAAATTGATACAAAAAGATCCCATGTGATGAAAACCGGGCAAAAACCGGCGGTTAACCGCGGTTTTTTCCGGTTAACCTGCGGTAAACCGCTACTTTTCCGGTTTACCGCGGCAAACTGGTGGTTTTTCTCGCTTTATCGGCTCCTTACCGGTTAACCGGTTTTTTTTTATGGTGAACTGCGGTTTACTGCTAAAACTGATCCGGTTTTTGTGACATGAGGAGACAACAAAGATAACTCTTTCTGAACAATCGGATTTAAATCCTTTGAATGTCACAGAAGATTGATGTTCATCAAATAATGGTCGATTCAATGATTTTCATAATAACATTCTAAGAAGACATCCGTCGTGCGATGAAATTAATTATCCAGAGAAATCTGAAGATTATCACTAATTGATTGTTGACACCAACGAGTAAATTAAGTAAATCTATTTAGATCAATTTTCATATCTATTATACAGACGTGAATGGATACTATTGTATAATGCTTCCGTCGTTTTCTACGAGAGAAATAAGTACAACAATGGAAGAAGAAGCTTTGTTTTTTTTTGTCCTACTCGACACATGCAGATATTACTACTATGAAAAGAGATATTAATTAGATTTAAGAGAGAAGATAATAAACTAGAGAAAATAATTGAACATCTTATTAAAGAGCATTGTCAGTATTATGTCCTTTCTCAACTAAGACAAATAAAACTATCAATTTTCAAATGAGAATCATAAAAACAAAAAATTTTATAATAGAAATTTTTAATTGAAAATGTTGAGAATATTCATTCATATGCCGAGGCTAAATTTTGTTACTGAAAATATTAAAACGTTATGATAAGCATGATCTTTCTAGTTTCTGGTTCTAACAACTATTTTTATATATCAATATTAATTGAAGATTAATTCTAAAGAATAAATAATGGATGCATAAATAAACAACAGATAAGTAAGAAAATATTGAAGACGTTAGTAATAATGCTGATAGCGTGAATACTGTTTACTGAATGTTCTGAATTATTAGCTGATTGTCCTATTTCACTTCAACACATCATGCAGCTTAAGTGGCTATTGATCATTGTTCATTTACCGTACATTAATTATCTCTTTGAAAATAATCATTAGTCAGGACTGTTGATCATTCACAAAATATAACGCTCGATTAATTGAATATGTATATATATACTGTCTACGTTTAACTGAGTGCACATATTATTATCTAAGTGAATAATATTAAATCATTCCCAAATAGCATCTCAAACATATAACTCACAACAATTTCTTAATTGTCTCAAACGTCATGAGATAAACGATTTTAAAACAGCTTTGCTCCTGCCTTGTTTTCATCTTGATTTAGTGAATCCTCGACATGTCAGTTCATCGCTCAAACTGGATCAACTTACAATAATGAAAAGTCTTCGACCACAAGACGGTGAATAATATTTTGATTAAAAAAACTTATTTCTAACTGTGTTCTTTTAAGTGCTTTCTTTACAAAATGGATGCAATGAAAAATTCAAGAACATCATCTCAACCATCCACCCAAATATCACCCGCACATTTTTTTTACGTTTACTAATGGCAAAGTCTGCCCAAAATCAGTTCAAGATCGTTTCAACAAGTTTTGCGTATGAAAAAATATCAAGGAATTACAAATATATTCTCATCAGATTATTCTTCGTTCTATTTCAGATCGTCATCTTCCGCTGCTCTTATCGAAGAAAAATCATAAGCAAGGTCAGTTCACTTTTTTCCTGTTGATATTTTAACTTACAGCTACATTTCGATTTAGCATCTCATCTATGCGCTACAGTTGGCTGCTTATCAGAAGAACATCTCTGCGTCGAAAAACCGGATGTCAATTATAGTCGAATCCAATGTCAAGATATTACGTTATACATTTACGAAAATACTGCTGCTGAACTTTGTATATTTCAGGCTGATCCTTGTCAACATGGTTTACAACATGAGGACGCAAATGGTGACTTCTTCAAATACAGCTGCAGAAAGATTCAAGCAATATTTATCAACAACAACAACAATTTGCCTTAGTTTTTTTGTTTTGTTTTTTGTTTTTATCGGGTTTTTTTTCAGTAAACCATCTTCAATGTTTTTTCAACCATTAATCATTATTTTTCTCACAAATATTTTGAAAAATCTCTTCACCAATCAATATTAATCACACAATGAATACATTTATTTGTTCAACGTAGGTGAAGTTAGCCTCATATTCGAGTAAATCCAGTCGATATTCGTCCAGAAAGCTGCTCCAGAGAGTTCCAAAGTAGAACTTGGCGAGCTTTATCGATTGGTAACGTTGGATTTTCAGTATCTTGGGTGTGGGTCTTATTCTCATACCCACACCCACACCCTTTCTACTTACACATGCTCTGAGTTATGGCAACACCAAGATTACCAATTGATAGGACTCGTCAAGTTACATTTTGAAACGTATTGAAACAGCTAGAAGAAATTCCTAGACGAATATCGGCTGATTTTAGTAACCATGTGATAGGAGTCATATGGTAATAAATTAGTATTTTGGCTTTTTTTCACGGATGGTTTGAGCTATGGAAAATCCAAGATTACCAACCGACAGAGCTCGTCGAGTTCTACTTTGAAACTCTCTCGAACAGCTCGAGCACCTTCCCGGACAAATATCGGCTGATTTTACTAACCATATGGTAAGATTCACATAGTGAAAAATTAGTATTTTGGCTTTTTTTCACGGATGGTTTGAGCTATAGAAAATCCAAGATTATCAATCGATAGAACTCGTCGAGTTCTATTCTGGAGCTCTCTGGAGCAGCTGGTGCAGCTTCGTGGACGAATATCGACTGGATTTATTCGAATATGAGGCTAACTTCACCTACGTATAACCAACATAGATATCAACGTAACACAATAACAACTTGCAGTAATGTCTCATAAAATTATCTCATCTTTTCTTGCTTTACCAGTAGAACTTATCTACTGGATTCTGGATAATTTGAATAAATGAACTATTCTATGGTCAATGCGCAATGTTTCCACACGTATTAATCGAATTGTTGATAGATATCATCGATATCAGGTGCAGTTTTTCTTTATCTTAATCATTCATTTTCATCATTTTCAAAATATTTTCCACTATCATAATATATCATATCTATATTGTGTTTTCTTTTCTCCATCTCAAACTATTAAATAGAACAGAATACATATGATCTTTTGTTACACACTATATACACTCTACTTCAGATAAGTCAGGATAATTCATCACTATCAAATATTCAAGTGAAATAAAAAAATGTAATTACAAAGAAATAAATCAACTTATTTTTGAGTATCATTTGTTAAAATGAAGAAAACTTTAAGAACTCGAAACGAATTATGATGAAAACATTCTCTACGCAAATTGATCAATTAATCTTAAACAAATTAATCGAAAAACTACTGAAATTGAATTCTTCTTATAAAATATTTTTTTATGGCATTATTTTCGTTATTCAAAATGGAATGAACAACAAGTATTCTTTCCATTCTACAAGATTTATAAGTTTAAACAACTTTATATCACCTTATAAAAAACAATTACAAACGAGTACACCATTGTCACAAATGATTGAAAAAGTCATCATTTCTCATACTAATGGAACACTTATTTTTCTTGAGCTGAAAATAAAGAAAATATTCGTCAATTGCCTCAATAATTGTTTCGTATGCGATGGATTTATCCATTCTTTTTCGTTTTCTACTATAATCGCCATTGTCCTAAATAAGTATCATGAACAGTTTTCATTCATCATAATAGTTTATACACTTAACAACATCTTTGATTAATCTCTTTCATAAATATAATTTATGAAAAACAATTGTCTGTAAACTCTCATATATTCAAATACTAAAGCAATTTGTATCATTTAAAGACTGAATTATGAGATTCACTCACAAGTCATTTCATCATTTTAACTCTCTTTGTGTTTGTCACAGACACAGACACTTATCACACTTCATCTCCGATCGAAGCAAATCGGTGACCAACGAACACAACATGTTGCACTTGCACTCCAAAGGAACAAAGTAACATTTTTCTCTCACTTTCTTTTCCTATCACTCACTCATTATTTCACACAGACACTCGCCACAATGAACCTCAACGAGAATGGAATCGGTGTGGGGTGTGGGCCGGTGTGCATATGCGGGTGTGGGTGTAAGTGTTGGTGTGGGGTGTGCGTGTCGATGCGGGTGTGGATGAGGGTCTTGTTTTCACCCACACCCACACTCACACCCACACCCTCAGGCGGTAAATCAGCTCCACGACAATTAAGATTAACACCAATATGAATTGATTTGATACCATTTTCAGCAAAGATAGGCATACTACTTATCGGGTGACCCATATCATCTTCATGTGATGCACTTGTTTCTCTATTTTGATAAAAACAATTATCTAATATGGATGATATACTTAATGACATTAAATAAACTTTTATCCATCATTGGAATAAACATTGAAAATGCGTGTGCATGCCATGTTATATCACCTTGTTTAATAGCATTTGTAACTAATTCAATTGTTGTACAATTCGGTTGTTCATTTGTACATTGTGCAATATTATCAAAAAAATCTAAAAGTATCCATGGATGTGTAGTAAAAATAAAACGTTCTTCACCGCCACGATCATGAAGTTCTTGTGCAAGACGTGCTGTATTAGGTAAATAGTTATTGAAATAAAGAGAACAAACGATTGATGCAAAATTTGTAAAACCAACATCTAAATGTGTCATGGAAACAACATGAACTTTTTTTATCCATGGATAAGTAGTGCTTGATGAACTTGATCTTGATAGTTCAAAGACCACTAAGAATAATAATAGACAGAAAAACAACCGAAACATGACCGTTTGACCCGTAATAACTTGCTTTTACGGTGCTAATAAGTATTTAAAAAGAAAGATAAGAATGACAAAGAACAACTGCATTTTTTTTTTGTCTTATTCATTCTATCAGATAAGATTTTCTGATATTTTATTTATTGAGAATGCAGTACTGAAAAAATACTCAAATTATAAAGAAAAAGAAGCCTCTTTGAAAGTTTCTTTAAATGAATTGTGGGACCAATTTGATGTACTTGTTGTTCAGACACCTTTCGAATTTATAAATACATACTAACTGGATAATAAATAAAACAAAGTTTGAAACATGATAATTGTTCTTTGATTTTGTAAACATCCGCTATTAATTGTCTTGATTGAATCAAGCACGGTACACTGTTGCTTCTGTCAATCTAATCTATACTAATTTTAGCTTATCAAACGAACAGTTTGTTTGTCTTAGCAGTACATTCAACATCAGACATGCATATCAAATTCACCAAAGAATCCATAGAAGGTATGATATGTTTAGTATTACAACTGTTTTGTTAAATTTGACAAATTACACTTTAAAAGCATATCTATAAACCATATCATATTTTTACTCTGCATTCTTCATAATACTAATATTTTACGACAAACAATGATCTCATATCTTAGAAAATCTTTACATGAGTTATAAGTATTATTTACGAACGTCCAATATATCGATTTGATGAGTAAAAACAATGAAAACATGATGAAGCAAAAGAGATTTCTATTGAGTGTCTTTCTATATATTTTATTTATTTTCATGTGAAGTTGTTAGTATTAGAGAAAAACAAAACAAATCTTATCTATACATTATCTTAAACATGAACATATAAAATACAATCATTAAGGTTTTTTCTTCATCACAATGAACCTAACGATTGTCTATATGTTTGTATAGTTCGGAAGAGATTCCATAGGAAAATAATCATTGTTAATAGTAAAAGATTCAATAGTAAATTAGCTCCACCAATAGTGAATCGAAAGAATAAATAGATCAATGTAAGTAAACATAAAGTACGTATATCAGTAAAATGTCGGAAATTTATTTGTGGTGTATTTATTGATTGCAATCGTGGATCATTTGGACCATAGAATAATTGACGAAAGAATGAACCAATAAAATCTTGACGATTATATAATGAACTGATTTGATCGGCATACTAGAAAAGAAAATAAAATAACGAAAAGAATTTATCATAGAAACATGCATACTCTTAGATTGATATTTTCTGAAAGTTGACGATTAAACCAAAGTAATGGTCGAAGTTCGAATGGACTTGGTGGAGATAAAATTGGATTTTCAAATTCATAAGGAATATAGGAAGAGTTTAATGTTGATCCTGTGAGCGATGTCGACAAGGACTAACAAATGTTTTACAAAACAAATCAAATAAAAATTATTCTATGAACTTCTCTCTTACTTTATTTGCTTGAAATGATGTATCTAATGAATGGGCTAAAGACGGTTCATCATCATTAGTTGTTGTATCAAATGAATTTGTATCGATCTAGAATAAAATTTTGAAAAATCAACCATCAGAATAGAAGGATGTGGATATGATGACTTAAAAATATTATCTCAGGCCTTTCATAAATCTGATGTAGTGTGACGAAAAAAAGTCGTCGAGAGTTAGGGGATATCTCATTTTGTAGAGCATAATTTGCTCTAGCATTTCGTCTAACGTCAACCAACTTTATACCCGGCTTCTAGATGCTGAAAGAATTAAAAACTTGGTTTTCTGGAAAACCTATAGTCACCAATCCATGTTGTACAATATCTTTTTTTAACTAGTTTTTGTGAAACTTTCGAATGGAATTGATATCATTAGTAGACATTACCATCGTTATATATCCAACAATACATTTCTATCATATGGTTTATTTATTGGTAGAAAAATATTTTGAAAAAATCTAAACTTTTCGATTTTTTAACTCATGTTTTTCGAGATGTCGAAGACGGAATAACACACAAATCAAAATATTCTCTTATCAATTAATAGTTTATGATGTTCACTATAAGACATATTTTCTTATTTTGTGCAATTCTTCCACACATGGCCACCCAAGTAAGAGTTCTAGTACAGTATGCTTTGAAAGACATTTTATTTAGGACCTACATCGGTTGGTAGAGCTTGAAATTCTAAGTCCACTAGACCCCATTGTGAGTCAAAAGCTTAATAAAATACATGTTAGGCAAAAGGAGTTTAAATGTAGCTCTGCTACAAATTTCAAATTGAGTAACATTATCAGACATTCATCACAACTTCATTTTTCCGATCAAGAGATGAACAAGAGCTAACCAATGTTTCTATTCTTTAACTTACTTGAAAAAGTTCACAAAATTTATTTTTTGTATTTTTTAATTGTTCAACAATTTCTACTGATAAAAGTGGTTTTAATTGAAGAACTTCTATTGTTGATGGTTGAGGTTTTATAGATAGAAATCTAAGTAAAAATCTTTTCGATGATTCATAAATATTTGTTGATACCATTTGTGCAGCTTGTAAAGTTTTTTGTTTCTCTTTTTGAGATAAACTATTTCGTTCTTCAATACGACGTTCATTACGTTGTAGAACACTTGAAATTTTACGTAGGAAAGCTAACATTAATGTACGAGTTTCATCACATAATATAGAATAAGCAGAACGTGGACCACCAGGTGATGACGGAGGAGAAATACGTTGTTTACTAGGTGAATATGATGTCGACAATGAATACACTGCTACTTGTTCAGCTAAAAAAAAACATTAGAAATGATAAAGAGATTTTCATTTTATGTATTACCTTTAAGAACTAATGCGGAAAAATTTTTTGCTGAAAATACCTGAAAAGAAAATTTCTTCATTTTTTTCTTCATTTGATTTTTTTAAAAAAGATTAAAATATACATTAGCTAATTTATTGATAAGTTGTGCGATAAGTGCATTGGTTAAATCAGTTTTTTGTAAACGATCAATAGCAAATTGAAAAAGACGACCATAAAACGGAAGATTATGTTCAACAAAATTTATTGTTTCTGTATTAATAATTGATTGATCTTGTCGTAATATATCTTGATCAATTGTTGTTGTATCAAGTAAATTTATTGCATTATGATCATTTAATACGATTTCGGGACTGAATCGCCAAGGACGTATATATGTATACCAAATAAATAGAAGTGTATTATAACGTTGATCAAGTGGACATCGAACAATACCAATTTGGAGAAGAGTATAAAGAGATTGACGGACATATGTATCAATACATGTTCTAGAAAAACAAAAAAAACAGTAAATAGAATATTTGTAATTTTATACCAGCGACCATGTCGCTGATACTTTGTGCAATATTTTCCTCAACATTCATTTTAAATTTTTTTTACTCAGTTATACATCATTTTTATTAAACATTTCTGTAATATGAACTCTTTTACATTGTAATTTGTAATGAAAATTCACTTGATAATTTCTGTTGTACATAGTGGACACAATATTTGAAGAGATTTATTAAGTTCTTGGAGAGTTATCTATTACTTAAGCGGTTCTCTCTGTTATCATAAATCTCTCTGATTGAAAAGAAATTCATTAGAAGTTTTAACTATTTGAAACAGTCTGTCTCGCACGTAGGTGGATTTAGTCGGATTTTAAGGGCACTTCCATTTTCTTTCGTAGCCATTGTATAGTTGGAAGCATCATTTATCGACTGAGAACATTTTGGTATCGAAAAATTGTTTGCAATGTGAAAAAAAATAGAGAAATTAAATTAGCGAAAACTGTAAGGGAGTGGGTCCCAAATTAAAAGCAATATACACATCCACAAACCAATCCGCGAATCCTGAGTCTATAACAACTTTTACTCTACTAGTCGACGCTCGTCCAATAATTTATTTCCTATAATAATATCTTACATTCTACGTGGTATGCCACTCTGTGTTTGTGTTTTTCCTACACTGATTTCCTATCGATTTCTTTTTTGCCTTATTAGTTATTCTCAGAGTACACCTATTCATAGATCGTTGTGACTGATCGAAGTCAGTTAATACGTGAAAGAAATTTTTATGAAAAATGATCTAAAACCAGTGTTGAAATGTAGAGATAAAAAACTGCACCACTCCTTCTCCACAGATCGTGTATCAAAAATATTTTGTTATGATATATAAGCTACTTGCTTATTGCATTAATCAAAAATTAAATAAAAGGATGATGAAACAGCTTTTATTCTACTCCATATGATATCTGTGGAAAAAAATCTGAATCAAATCTAATTCACGAAAGTTCTATTTTCCGAGAAGTGTATTTCAACGAACCGTTTAAGTGTTTGTAAAGGTACAAGAAGATTACGTTGTTCGAGTAGTGTCATGCCTGTATTAGCAAGAGACGCATTATTACCACCAACACGAATTTGATATGAACAAAACAAATGAAGACGTTTAATAAACATACGAATACAAAGTAAATGAACATCGGATAAATTAAATTCCTAGAGAAAGGAAATAAAAATGTTTTATAAACACGAAATTTTCATTATACTTGAACAAGAATTGAACCACTATTTGTACCAAAAACGGATTTCGATGGTTGAAATACATCAACTAGAAATGCTACAAAGCACTAACCAAAAAAAAGACATTTTCTTACAAGTGTAAAATCGGTTTTTTTACTTTGATAAAATAATCAATTTTTTTCATTAATTCATTAGTATCGGCTGTTGTTGTTGATAAAACAGGAGGTGATGGTGATGAAATTACTGATGATGTACTTATATTTATACGGCTTTCTTCTCCATCTCCTCGTTGTTTTACATTACTTCCAAATAAATACGATTGTCGGACAGGACTTTTTCTAAATCAATAAACTAACAACTGAAAACTTCCGTAAGTTTTATTTTCAAAAATATACTTCGGTGTTGTTTCAATAGGTACAGGTGGTAACAATCGTGAATCAAGTACATGTGAAGTTGTAAGAATATTTGAAGCTGTAGCATTACTTGTTGGCATTAGAAGTAAACGAAATTCACTAGCATCAACTATTTAAAAAATAATAAACGAAATTCATACATGAATTAACTAAATTTTTAAATATTTACTTGGAAGAAACAGACATAAATACATTTCAAGAATATTTAAATACACTGAATCACTTCGCATTGGTCGATCCTAATCAAATAAAATTCAATGAAATGGATTTTTTTATTTTTCTATTTTGATTTACCGGTGTTTGTTGATCTGAAACAACATAAGAAAGTAGATGAAATAGAAAATATTCAATTGGATCAAGTGCTAATGATGTTAAATGTTGTCCAGTTGTTGTTGTTCGTCCACGAACAATATCCGGTAAACATAATGATGCAAGTTTAGCACGTAAATGTATTGGTAAATCAGTTATACTAAATTGAAATGTGAATTGTGGTGTATGATCTTGTAAACGAAGTAATGCTTTCCATAATTCACCATGCCATGGTGAAAAAAAATCTTGTATCAATGAAAATAAATGACTACGATCATTACCAATATCACGTAATGACCAATCAAAACGACCAAAACCAAATATACGACGAATAACATAGGGTAATTCAACATGAAGTTCCTGAACAGTCATACGAGGAAGTTGAGCATTCAATTGAATACAAGCATCGATTAGGCCCAAATCAAGAATTGAAACAAGAGAATGATGAGTAAACATTTTTATTGATCTAAAAATCCTATGAAAAAGATTAAAAAAAACAGAAAGCTCTTTTAGTGCACAAAATAAACCACAATTGATGAATGAAAAAAAATTCAGTTTACAATGATAAATGTTTTATCCAACGCTAAGTGGACATCAAAGATGGCAGTAATTTGCAATCCATCTTAATTCGTTTATAGAATAACTTATGATAGACAATCGTACGAGAAGAAAATGTCATAGAAAATTTATTTCTCTTTCGAATTGTACATTGCATATTTTATTCATGTTTATTCGTAGTCGAAATGACGTAATAGGAAAGAGAAGTAATCCTAAAACATATCTGTACTTTTCATATAATGCTAAATAATGACGCAGAACATTAATCCCTATACCTTTTCGATAAGCACATGTTGAAAAAATAACTTTTTCATCGATCAAGAAACACTTTTCACGTTTTTCAGCTGTCTATTAGGGATCTACAAAGTCAAACTTTTTAATACGGTATGAAGCACAGCATTTATGTAATCAGTCATGTACGCATTCGACCTTGGTCTTTTACGCAAGATAATAAAAATTAGTGAGCAGGTCTCGAGTCAGTTGTTGTGAGCAGTAGAAATAATGAAAACCTTCGAAGGACAGGATCGACTCTACTTGAAATCGTTTATGATTCTTATGTTAATTGAAATTCCATTGTCACAAATCGAGATCGCTTCGTACCGCATTTATCTAGTCTTTTGTGATTTTTCTTCTTTTACTTATGAGACATAAAAGTCGAAAGTTATCATTTTCTGTTGCGATGATATCGAGAACGAAGATTCAGACAACACACAGAGATGGAGGTTCTTGTTTAGGGTGCGAAAAAAAAATTTCGAGAGCAGTAACACTATATATTGGATTTTTATAGTTAATTTTCATTGTAAATTTAATAGCTGGTTGTACTAGATTTGTTTTATGTTTACATCAAAAAAATATTAGATGATTTGTATTTAAGAATAACAAATAAACAAATTGAAAAAATTAATATTACAAAACGAAATTATCATGCAAATATTAATGAAAAAACAAAATCATCATCATTATAATGATGATATTAAAGATATTTATTATTCAACTGTTCAAGCTAAATAATAATAATCACTGTCACAGTGAGGTATATAGTTAAATAAAATGTGAGAATTTTCGATGAACGAGTACATCAAACTGTTGTTTTCTCTTTAAGGTACGGTGAAAGTTAAAAAATTTTGTTTCATATTTTCCATGACTCTTTTTTTTTCATGAGGACATAGGAGGAAAATGAACGAAACAAGACATGATCACCATGGATTTGAGTTTTCAGGTTTTTTTGAATGATTATTTCTTTTTTCAATAAAGATTTTGTTGTCTAACGGTATGTGTAAAATAATACATGATGCTAATATTTTGGTTTTTCTTTGTTTCAGGTTTTTAACGATTGAATTCGGTAATATAAACAATTATTGGTTTTACAGAAAAGTAAGTGATATTATTTTTGATTTTACTAATTTTTGTGAAGATATTCAAATAATTGCTCAATTTATCATGAAAAGGTATCTTTAAGAATATCCAATTGAACAAATGGGCAATCATACTTTATTGATTCGTCTTTTAATACTTTATTCATCGAATACCGTATCAAATGATCTCATATCTACATAACTATTATCTGATTCTAGTAAGCTTTCAACATCTGCGGTATGAAGACATAAATAGATTTTCTTCTTATAGAAATTTATCATTGATTTTTTAAAGTGGTAAATAAATAGAATATTGTTTGTCGTTATTCTTCAAATGGATTACGATTCTACATCGTCCATCGAACATTGTCGAAAGGCGTTAGTTTATTTTGATTTACGAGAATTAAAACTATCATCTATCGGACGAATAATTTCATCCATGATTAAATTCATTCAAATCTCACTGCACATGTATTAGTTTATATAAATTGAAAAAAAGATATTTTTATTAAAAATACTTTAGAACTAAATAAAGCTGACAGACAATAATAAAAATTCATCAGAAACATGAAATGTTGATGCATGTGTAATAGCAACAAGTAGTTAAATATAGCATTAAAAAAATTCGTTTTTTTCTTGACAATAAAATTATTTTTGTAGGTAAAAACTGTAATTGAAAAGATGTTGAAAAAGAATTTGATCTTCCAGAATTTTCAGTAAGCGATTGATGAGCTCTTATATTACTTATAACAGCACTTTGTCGACTATTACTAACTGAGCAACGTATTGATTTACTTTATGAACATGGGTATAATGTTGAAGAACAAGTTTGAAAATTAAAAATAAAGGTAAAAATATCATATTCTCTAATTCTTTTTAAATAATTATCACGACTGGCTCAAGAAGTTTGTTTTCGAATGTATTTTGTTTTGATAATCATCCGACTCATCCTGTTTTAATTGATTGTCTTAAACATTTACTTAATAATACAATAAGAAACATGGTCATTAGAAGTTTAACCAAGCCAACGTTTTGCAGGCTTACACCCTCCTCAGTCTGCTTGTGCTTGTCATCCTATTTCCTTGGCTTGAAATGTCCACCAAGACCTGTCTACCTTATTGAGAAAAGCAATCAGTTTTATTCTTCAAAAATATTTTCGAAAAATTTGACAGACAACAATGTCGTTCATAGCATCATAATTGAGAGAGGAGCCACGTGCAGTAACTATTAAATCTAAAACAAAATGAACCGTTCAACTTCAGTTAAATTAACTAGTGTTTAAAGAATGACTCAGAGCAAGTAATGATAAACGTGGAAAAGATAGTTCGACATGTGAGGAGATTGATCCTCTAGTAAGATTTTACTTTTCTTTCTATGCATAATTATTACACGAGGATTTTGAAAATGATCACTGACAGAATTAACCCAGTTGCACTTATTAACACTGTACTTAGAGAGTCTGAAATATTCCATTGGCGCATAAGTTCTGAGAGTTTGGATCAGTAGAATAATATCGCCAATATAAAACTACATTTTAAGGAAAGTAATTGCATATTCTGATAGCGCTCGGAATTCTCTATCACCCTGTGTATTTAAGTCTTGACTTGCATTTATTTGCTGAAAAGTATTTTGAATACAATGGAGACACCCTCACCCGCATTGACAATGTTCGAAATATTTCTCAGCAAATAAGTTCAAGTCAAGAACTGAATACATAGGGCGATAGAGCATTTCAAGAGCTCTCAGAATATATAATTACTTTTCTAAAAAACGGATTACTATATAGATAAAAATTTTAAAAACACATGAGAAAAGAAGAAAAAATGAAGTTTGTGGGAATCTGAGGGCAAGGGTATCTTCACTGTACTCAAACTATTTTTCAGCAAATAAATGAAAGTCAAGACTTAAATATACAGGATGATAGAGAATTCCGAGCGCTATCAGAATATATAATTACTTTCCTTAAAATGTAGTTTTATATTGGCGATATTATTCTACTGATCCAAACTCTCAGAACTTATGCGCCAATCCCACAGTCGATGATAATTAAACCTAGTTAACTATCCTTATAGTAGTCAATCAAGCTAGTTTTAAAACAGGTTGACAGAAATTTTTAAGCATTCCAAAATGATAAGAAAACATCGAAGAAAAAACACTGAGACTGACAAAAATGTTGAAAAGATACTTCTTCAGATATGGTTTTCAATGATCTTGACTGGTACTCGCAAGATTTCAATCAGAAGAAGTGCAGCTTACAATGAAAGGTCGTGTACTGCCAGTGATGGAGATTAAACATATTTGGGTCAAATGAAAGCTCTCACTGTCAAACTAACGAGTTTACAATATTACGTGCCCATAGCGTACCCAGAGCAAGTAACTTAAATTTCAAGGTATGTAAAATTCAGGTACAAAAATGAATCAGGAAGGATTTTCTCCACTATTGTAAGAATAAAACATAGCGTTGTTCGGGCTAATTAGCGATTTGGAAGGGCCCTATTTCATATAGTGCGAACAACACTGTGTATTGCCCTAACAACAGTAGTGTCGACCTTTCTAGATTCATTTTTATGCCTAAATTTTACATACCGTGAAATTTAAGTTACTTTCTCTAGGTACGCTATGGGCACGTAATATTTTAAATTTGTTAGTTTGGCAGTAAGAGCTTTCATTTGACCCGAATATGTTTAATCTCGTTCACTGGCAGTACGCGATCTTTCATTGTTAGATAAAAACTGAAATCATCTTATGAATTAGTATTCAACACTAAGTAGACTTATCTCAATTTTGAATCTTTTTATCAACCTTTTACGATTGAAAAGTCATCCAGCCGCTTCCTAGATTAAATTAAAAAAACGAATGTCGTTAAAACAGTGTTTTGATGACTTACACAAACGCTATTTTTTTGTACTAGTGTCATTGTGTAGTCTCAGAATTTTTCCCAGTTAGTAAAACTACTTTTCGAGGTGATTTGTATTTTGACTAAATCTGGAGTGAGACTGATATGTGTTTTTCGACAACACAAGATCAAAAAAAAGGTTTAAAACTCTCATTAGTTGGTTTAATGTCAAATGCTAGTTTTCAAGCTGATTTTAGTTTCTATTCAAACTACTTCTGATAGAAATTCACGAAATATTAGTCAAAGATACTCAAATCATGCTGAAGAAATGTTTTCCTCAGGTGCTTTTTACTGATTATTCATTTTTTCTCCAATGTTTAATTAGCATTTCAACAACGCTTAAAAAATCTTATCAAACTACATGAAAGTTAACTTCGCTACTCTATTAATAGTTAAATAGATTTGAGTAGCATCAACGGTCAGACATAACATATCTATTGATTATTTCAAGCGATCTGAACACCAAGTAAACAGTTATAACAGAGCAAATTCTGCGCGCGTTCACTTTAGCAACTTTTGTTTAATAATTTTGCGTAAAAAAATCTTTCCATGTGGAAGATATCATCGACTATTGAGCTTCACTTTTGTGTTGAGAATGTCTTCATATTGACAGTAGATGTCATTGTTTATATCTATCTTTAATATTTATTCTCAAGCATTTATCTAGTTCCTTATATTTAAATTTCATCCTTCAAAATTGCTCAATTTAATTTGTCTTCTTGAATTAAAATCAATTCATGTGATGAATTTTTCAGATTGAAGAAAAAAATAGATATAGGCCAAGCGCCTAGCATTTTTAAGCGGCTTGTCTGACAGCCTGTTACAGATAGGACAGCCTAGTCAGCTGTTTGAAGCTCTCGTGGGTGTGGACGTGAAGGCAAGAAGAACATCATCGACGTCCACATTCGATGTTTGTATCCTCTCGAGATATGGACCTCCCTAACATAGTTCGAACGAATATCTAGCGACTCGCCGTTTTCTAGAACAGCATGTCACAAGTTCTAGGCTTTGTTTCAGCAAAAAGCGAGCAAAGTATACAGATCGAATGTGATCACGATCGACTACATAAAGTACGGCGATTGTAAACAGCGTCTAAGACCATCATTGTTTTGTATCGTATTTGGTCCTAAATAGGCATTAACTTCAACGATCTCTTCCATTTCAATAGAACACAATGCATTAACTGATACAAACCACATTCTTTACCTCCGTTTTCAAATGTACCATTCCACAAGACATGGTTGTAATGATAACATTTACATCATTGTAAACGTTAATGCAAAGTCGTTTATGATTATACGATTCTATCGATGGAAAAAAAACGAGACATTTGTTGCATTACTTTTACATGATAGTCGAACTCTAAAAATCCGCCAGTCGGATCCCATCGAATTCCCGGGACAATCTGACAAGATCCTATCGGAAGTTGTTGGATGTCGGATCTGACGATTTCCGATAGTCGGATCCGATACTCAGAAAATGTCGGATTCTCTCGGAATCCGATGGAATCCTGTTGAACTCCTATCTGAACACTACACCTTGTTTGCCCCCATTCTTATCATCCCTTTCCCACCTCTTCCCTTCTTTCATTCAATAAGGTGCGAAATAATAGTTTAAATCTGGTTTATTTCAATATATTAACGTATTCAACTGTTGAACAAAAAATTTACAATACAAGTAAACTTGAATACAATAAAATAAAATTTAAAAAAATTATCTAGATTAAAAAATTACACTAAAGTAAAACTAAAACACGATAAAATTAAATTAAAAAAATAGATTAAATAAAAATAAAAAAATTAAGTTAAATATAGAGCAAATCAAATTTTAAAAATTATAATAAAATAAAATAAAATAAATTAAATAGAATAAAATATGAAACAGTAAAATGAAAATAACAATAAAAATAACGAGATAATTTGTGCCAGCCGCTGATTGACTTCATGCCTTAACAGAATCTGAAACAAAATAAGAAAATTAAAAATTAAATCCAGACAAAAGAAAAACCAAAATGAAGTGAAATAAAATTTAAAAAAAATAAAATAACATAAATGCAATAAAATAAGAATAAAAAATAAATTAAATCCAACTAAAAAATAAAATAAAATAAAATAAAAATTCCATCTTCACTGTCGATTGACTTCATGCTGTGAAAAATCAAAAACAAAATAACAAACAATGATATAAAAATAAAAAGGAATAAAATGAAAGACATTCAAACAAAAATTAAATTAAATTAAAATACAATAAATTAAGGATAAAATTAAAAAAAGAATTCATACTCACTGAGGATTCACTTTACCCTAATAAAATCGAAAACCAAATAAAGGTCCTTGTATACTTTGGCGCTCAAAGGCATCGGATTGATCACAAAAAAAGCAAGTCTGTGAGGTGGAGGAAATGGTTTGTAATCAAGAAAAATAAAATTGAATAAAATTATATACAATTAAATAAAAATCAAATAAATAAATAAATAAAAATACAATAAGAATAAATAAAAATTAAATTAAATTAAATTAAAATTAAATAAATAAATAAAATTTTACGTAAATTAAAACAAAATGTCTATGTGGATATTTTCCCGCTATCGGATTTCGTCGAATCCGACTGGTTATCATTGTCGGGTATCATCGGATCCAATTGTCGGAATTCGACAAAATCCGACGTCAGTATTTGTCGAAAAGTAACGGTTGACGATGATTTCCGACAGTCAGAATCCGATCGGATCCGACAAGATCCGATGGAGTGAATTAGACCTGGGAGATTATAAAATTTTGAGTATTGAAAAGAAATTAAAAGGCAAACGTTGTTTCAGTAGTTTTAAAGTTGCATCAGGATTTCGAACCATCGCTTGGTTATTATGCAAGTTGTTGTAACAATTAATAAACATTTTGTTCGTATTATTGAATTTTCACAGAAAATTTTTATATAGCTTGTACAAATTGTACATATCCTACACCGAGCCTTGATTTTGGGCGTTACTTGTAGAGATGAATATCGCAGGGTTTTATTGACAGCGACCTAGAATCGTTCGTAAAAATCATTGATTTCTTTTCATAACTATGATATTCGTATCAGACAATTGTTACTTCACGTGTTGATCACGCATCACATCATCAACCATGTTTTGTCGTTCTTCTTCTTTAACACATGTTTCTGGAGTTTCTTCATTTATGTGGTCAGATGTTACTGTGATTGATAGAATATGCCATTCTTCTATAGGTAGTGTCTGTAATCGAAACATTGTTCGATATTGCACAATAAGCCAAAGACAACCAAGTAAAAAACAAATCCCAACAAGTAGAGGATATGCTAATTTATCTGGTTTAATCCATCCAGCTATATATAAAACTACTGATGATGTTAAACTAGCACCAAGATTTCCAAGCATACTTAATAATGTAATATATGTTCCACCAATACATGGATCACTTATACGTGCATAAAATCCAACACGAGAAACAAGCATTAAATAAATTAGAGATTCATTCAACATAAAAAGACAAATAAGTATTGGATAATAATACCATTGAGATAATATATATGGTGTAAAATAAATATATATTGCAATTAGGATACACATAAAAAGACGAGGTAAATATGAACGATTATACCAAGTTAATGGACGGTTTGTTTGTGTTATACAAAATGGTATAAGAATTTTAACAAAAATTAAGGGAATACCAAGTAGACCAAGTGTTTCTCGTGGAACACCATATCTAAAATTATAAAATGAAATAATCAATAAATTAAATATTTATTTGGTTTTTTTACTTTTTTAGGACTAAATTCGTCATTGCATAGGTTGCTGCATACCCTATTGGACTCAAAAGAAATAATAATGCTAATTGTAGAATACATTTTTTTTGAAATAATTTAAATATTGATAAATAAGTTTGACGTAAGTTTAAATGATTATTTTCTTGTCTTTCTTTTTTAAATACAGCTATGCAAAAAGAAATCAATAGAAAAGCAACAGCCCAAAATCGTATAAATTGATCTATTGTAAATAATCCGTATGGTTTTTCGGATAATAAAAACGGTCTTCGAATAAATCGATTAGTAAAATTTGCTGATTCAAATGTCATTAAAATAGTAAAACCAACAAAACGACCAATTGTTTGTCCAACTGTTTGACATGTTGATGCCCATTGAAGATTATAATTTGTTAAAAGTGTTAATGCCCACCCATCAACACATATATCTTGGCTAGCAAGAAGAAAATACACAAAGAAAAAAATACATGTTAAAGTTTTTATTTTTAATTGTTCAACTAATGTTGTTAAATAAAATGAAAGTATTAAAAGTATCATTCCTAATAAAAATTGTATTGGTATAAGCCAAGTTTTTCTTCGACCAAAACTTGATATATATACAGCATCAATTATTGGTGCCCATGCTAATTTTAAACTAAAGGGATAAACAACAAAATTAAATGTTCCTTGTTCTTGCCATTGAGCACCGCGTGACTCCAAATATAAAGGAATAGCTAAGATAAAACCAATAATAACTCCTTGAAGAATATAAAGTATAAGGAGGAGTAAGATAATTTTTAATGGTACTATTTTCGTTTTCATGCTTTCAAGTTGAAAAATAACATAGTGTTTTCTTTCCTTTCATTGTAAAGAATCAAAATAATGCAAGTCAGAGAACGAACAAAAAAAAAAGAGGCTGAGTGAATGCATTTTTTGCTTGATTATAGTCACTGTACAATACCGGTAAGTACGAATAAACATGTATTGGAGTAGAGAAAAATTGTACTACTTGTAAATAATATTCGTAATATGTATTCAATGGAAGCCATTAATAATTAATAGGCGCAATTTCATGATCGAACTAAATTAGTAGAGGAGAACAAGTTATATGTAATTATTTTTGAGCACTTTTCTATTGACTTCAAATAAAGTTGATGTAAACAAAACAATAAAATCATCGTTTGTTATTAACGTGAACGTTTTAATCCTTTGATTTAACTTTCTTTCTTTTCTTACGATAACATAAATGTCACTTTAATACAGCTGTCACCATTCAATAGTTGTCGCTGAAATACGATGTTATGAGAAAAAGTTTTTAAAAGACAATTCTGACAGAAGTTTTCATTATCCTGATAAATATATCACGAAAATATGAATAAAATCCAATGATAATGATCTCTGTACATATATAAGATTACACTAACTTGTTGCTATGTTTTACCAGCCTCATTGATTTTGGAGGTGTGTGCATACGTCCTTCATTTCATCATCATATGTTATTTTTTTCTTTGCGTTTATTGTTTTTAAATGAAATTTAGCTGTTTTATTATCACAATTGATAAATCACTGTTTGTATATAATAAGCTCGATAAAGTGAGCATCTACACGTATTAGTGGTTAGATATTTCTGCATGTAAAACACATAAGCTAGCATAAAGAGATGTGGTCAAAATGAAATGAAACATAGTTGCACAAATCATACTCATATCTAATTCTTTATTTTCTTGAGTACTAACTTACAATAAAAGTCATTTTAATGATATGATGTACACTAATCAAATATTCAGAAACAAATTATTTGATAATGTTATTATCTCGGAAGACGTACATTGATTGAATTGCATCATTTTACATTGTCAACAATCAATGGTACATTTATGCGTTTCTTGCATGCATTACTATTAAAAAGTAAGGACTTTAGTAAATAAGTGCCGGAGAGCTAAGATTTTTGCCAAGAAAAATACTGTTTTACTAGAGAAAAACAGCAATATCAATTTAAAAACTTTTTTTCACTTAAAAATTGAGTTTTCAGGCATTACAATAAATAAAAGCCTGCTAGATTTTTACAAAAAATTTTCGAAAACTCATGGCCTTTTATTCTGTGAGTGGGTTAGTTGAGAAAGATGGTAGTATCATGATATTGTTACTTACGAGGGAACATTCCCAACTGTCACATTGCTTTTGAGTCGAGCGTATGCGCATCATGTAGGCTCTAATGATCTATGAATACTCTGAAAAAAGTTCGTGCTGCTAGCTTATTACTGCCGAGATATTGCATTTTTACTGTATGTTTAAGAAAAAAGCCGTGGTCCCCCTCAGAAACACTAAGGAAACTGAATTTCGAATTTCAACTTGAAACTTTGCACAGAGATAGGCCTCAATGAGAATAGTTTATTGTGAAAGTTTCAGATCTTTTCGTTGTTCCTATCCTAAGATATAGCTATGGTAAAATCGCTGATACACACTAGCAGATTCCGATATTCTTGTTTCAAACTAGGAGCAATCAAAAGATCTGAAACCTTCACAATAAACTATTCTCATTGAGGCCTATCTCTGTGCAAAGTTTCGACTTGAAATTCGAAATTCAGTTTTCCTAGTGTTCCTGAGGGGGACCACGGCTTTTTTTCTTAAACATACAGTAAAAATGCAATATCTCGGTAGTAATAAGCTAGCAGCACGAACTTTTTTCAAAGTATTCATAGATCATTAGAGCCTACATGATGCGCATACGCTCGACTCAAAAGCGATGTGACAGTTTGGAATGTTCCCCCGTTAGAGCAATTCAAAAGTAGTGACAGAGCTATTGTAATTCTTTATGAAAAACTTAAAGAAACTTTCTCTCTATAGTGTGATAGTAAAAGCAATACTTTATTTTTCTAATCTACTATACTAGTCTTCAGCCAATATCATAATAATAAAGTTTCGATAAAATCTGTTTGATTATGATGTATAACGGTTAAATTTCTTCATATTTAGGGGTAACACTTTAACTTTCAAAAAAATTAAGGTTAAAATAGACATTTTTTCAACAGTTGCATTTTATACATAGTATTGATGCTAATATTTGTGTTGATCGTTTGTCAAAGTTTGAGGAAACATTTTTGGGGTCGAGGAATCTGTTTTTCAAACTTTTGAGTTTGATTTTTTGACTAAAAAGATATTGTTTTTGTAAAACATTCCTTTCTTTATACAAAAATTTTTTCTTGCTAAAGAATAAAACTCAAAATTTCGAGAAATTGAGTTTCAGATTCGAATTCTTCGATCCAAAAGTCTTTGGTCACACTTCGACCACTGATTAACATCAACATAAATAACGTTAATGTGTATAGAATGCAAATGTTGCAAAAATCTCGACTTTAAGTTTTGGTTTTTTAAAATTAAAGTGCTGCCCCTATTCATTTTTTGTTCATTCCTTTTTCACATATCTTTAAATACCTAACCGTCTTCATACATTGAAATACATTGAAAGGTATGTCTTCCCTAGAGAGTGTAATGAGTTAAGAGTACCCGAAAAAGTACCCTGTTACCAGTATATCACAGGAACTTTTGGATACCAAAGTACTTGAAGGTACTTTCAGGTACCTAAGTGGTACTTTGACAAGTACCTTGCTGCAAAATGTGTAGTAACTGGGTACATGAAGGTACTGATCAGATACTCAATTGGGTACCATTGTATAGTATTTCTAGGTACCCTGTTACAAAAATTTCAGTATGTTCAGGATCGAACCTGAACTTTAACTTTTTAAAATTTTTGTTTCTCTCGAAGCAATTCACTACATTTTTTTTTCGATTTTATTCAATTTAGTTTTTTCAATTCCAAAAAATTAGCAGGTACACCGCCCGGGATCTGACCCGACTTGAGTTGGTCAGGTATCTATCAGACCACTTCGGAGTAGTCTGCTCTTGATCTACGATCAAGATCGGCATGTTCTCGACTAAGAAATAGTCAAGAAATAATCTAGAAAAAATTAGTAAGAAAATAGATTAATTTCTTATGTCTTACCTAGTTGTTTATATGAAGCCGTGAGTGAAAAAGAAAACGGTGAATGAATAGTCGCTACACAGAACGCGACAAATATAGGGTACCCTGTATACCTTTCCTCAGTAAAATTACAGATGTGAGTACCCATACAAGTACTTGTTCAGTGAGCGTACTTTTATGGGAACCACACGCAGTACCTACATCAGTATAATTACTGAGAATTTTTGAAGTACCCATATTGGATACCCTGCTAGGGCTTTCTCAGTACATGGGTACCCTAAACTCAGTACTTTCTCTAGGGTTGTTTGTTGTGTTTGCGTCTGTTGTTTATTGCAGTGTCGTCTAGAAAGTTGAAGATATATAGTTTGGTTAAATTGTGACACTTTATCTCTATTCTAGATGAGTGAGAAAAACTTTCGCTTTTACATTAAAGTACGAACTTCACTTCATATTCAAGCAAGGGTTATTCATGATAAATTATGTTCTATTTGTGATGATGAAGCTCCTTGTCTTAGGATAGTTGAAAGAAAATAAGAGGTCGAAGACGAAGTGCGAGCAACTGTTTTTCTATATTTCGTTTTTTGCTTTGTTGTCACTACTTTTTGCATACCCTAATATATATATAGACGGCTATGCATTAGAGTAGACGAAAAAGAAATCAATAAGAGAATACATATCGAAGACAATATGAAGTAACTTAATTGTCACACATGAAAAGCAAATAGGTCTTATTGAAACTTTATTAAAGTGATATCCATTGAAAAATGATATAATAGCACAGAAAGATAGAGCATTCTTTATACTATCAGACTATAGAGAAAGAAAGCTTCTTTAAGCTTTTTATAAGGGATTACAATATCCCTGTCATTACTTTTGGATTGTTCTAAGTAACAAAAACAAAAAAAAAGGAAAAATTCTATCATGTAAAGTTCTTTTTTGTTTGATCAATAACTATGGTGAATTTAACTGACATATGTTTCAGATGTTTCTTCGGTCAGGTTTAAAATCAAATAGCCTTCTACGCTTTACTTCATTTCATCCTTTTCGTTCAAAACATGTACTCGGTATTCGTCGTGAAGATCAATCACCATGGGAACGTCGTGCACCATTAGCACCTGAACAAGTTCGAGAACTTGTAAAAGATCATAATATAAAAGTGCTTATTCAAGCATCAAATCGTCGTGCTTTTCCAATATCATCATATGTTGATGCAGGTGCTATTGTTCAAGAAGATTTAAGTGAAGCATCAGCTATAATTGGTGTTAAACAAGTTCCTGTTGATTTATTATTGCCAAATAAAATTTATGCCATGTTTTCACATACACATAAAGCGCAAACAGATAATATGCCATTATTAGATGCATGTTTAGAAAAAAATATAACATTAATTGATTATGAGAAATTCGTTGATGAAAAAGGTATTCGTTTAGTTGCATTTGGAAAATACGCTGGAGTTGTTGGAATGATTAATATGTTACATGGACTTGGTTTAAGACTTCTTGGACTTGGTCATCATACACCATTTATGGTAATTATAGACAAAAAAAAATAGTTTTTCTTTTTGTTTCATGAAAATAAATTTTTTTTTATGTTTAGCATATTGGTCCAGTACATAATTATCGAAATAGTGAACACGCTCGAATGGCTATTCGAGATGCTGGATATGCAATTGCTTTAGGTCATATGCCAAAGTCTATTGGACCAATAATTATCATTTTTACTGGAGCAGGAAATGTTTCTCAAGTAAAGAAGAACCTTTTAAATATAAAATGATAGAAAAAAGTTTAAAAACACTGTATTTTCTTAATTTTTTCTGCGATTTTAAGTATCTAGCTCAAGC